TTAACTTACTTATACCTCCCTATCATTAAGATTTATTTATATTTATTTATACTTAACTTACTTATACTTTATCTTTTTACCAATTTAGTGAAGAAATATGACCAACAATGCCAACTGCATAATTCAGAGTCTCAAATGCCTAACGATATGTAACATACTTTTACCATTAAACAACAAAAAGGTTTTTCTCTTTTTCAATCGATAATTATAAAATAAATGAAATTCTGCAAATATTTTACATTCTATATTTGTTATAAAAGCTGTAATTAGTAATTGTAATTAATGAAAATAAAAGAAACGAACGAATTGAATTGAAAAATTGATACGAAATGGACAAATAAAAGTGATAAAGAATAAATGCGAACGAATCACTCAAAATTAACAACAAAAATCTCGAATTCAAAATGATTCATATGACATTTTAAAGTTTTGAATCAATACAATTCTTCATTTGTTTTTTCTGCCAAGAAAATAAAAACATGAAAATCTTTTCAAACACATTTTAAAAATCACAACAAAAAAAAAAAAAAAAAAAAAAAAAACGAAATCAAATGAAAAAGAATAAATTGAAATAAAACTACTATTTTCAAAATAAATTGATAATTAATTAAACAATTAATTGATAAATAAAGTGTAAAATCAGGATAAAATAATGAAACTAAAGTTTGTTTATGTTTAGTTTTCTCGTTTAAACTAATCATTTATCCTATTTAATCTTTCATTATATATTGGACATTAGCGCTCTTAATTTCTTACTATCTAATTGTGCAAAAAAATAGAATAATGAATTGTGCAAAGGATTAGTTCTGCTTAAGCCTTCTAAATAAAATGATAAACTTTTTGGAACAGATTAGCAGCAACAAAAAAAAAAAGATTAGCAAACAGATAGAAAAGAGAAAATAGAAAGAGATCTATTGAATGTAATAATAAAATTAACAAATTTTAACTCTTCCAAAAATTTTACTCTAAAGAAAGAGTAAAATGTCTTTTTACATTATTAACGTTTAATGAATTCAACAAAAATACCGCCGCCGCTACTGCTGCGCTTTTGTTACACAGTATTTAGAGATTTGAAGGAAAGATGAAAAAGTATAGATGAAGCTAGCTAGCTAGTAATGAGATAGAAAAGTATTAGCAGTTAAGTTGAGCTAACTGATCGTTAAGCTAGAAAAATAACAGAGGAAAGAAGGAAGGATCAGTGCAGCAGAATGAAATTGATTGAATTGATTGATTGATTGGATCGGGTTGGGTCGAGTGAGTTGGATTATTTAGCACTTGAACAGCTGTTCATCACACAATCAATGCAATATGCATACACTCTTTGCTAACTTTTACAAAATAATATTTTACTATAACAAATAATATTAACTTAATAATATGAAATTAAAATAAATTTGAAATGATTTGCTTTTATTTCATTGAAATATTTGAGGAACAGTGATTTTTAATACTTTAAAACTATCTGATTTTTATATTTTTGCATTTGATTTAATCTTCATAGCAATAATAATTAATAATAGTAATAGTACTAATAATAATATTAATAATAATAATGCAATATGCTTTTTATTAATATTTATTTAAAAATTTTTTTTTGTTGCAATTTGAAAAATTTAATTTCAAAAATTTGCCCATATGATTCATATTTATAATAATAGTACTTTATACAGAAAGCAATTGAAATTTATTGAAAAAACCTTTTCCTTTCAACTTTATGTCACGATGTTTATAATCAATTTATTTTCTATCCTTTGCATTACTCGTGACAACTTATAATTAATGAAAAATTGATTTGATTTATTTAAAAAATCAAAGAGTTCTTTCTTCTTTTTTATTGAATAAAGTTCATTCGTTAAATGTGTGAAATTTGCAGTAAAATTTTAACTTTAATATTTTTAAGACATTAATTTTTTTTTTTTTTGTATTTCTTTGCTTCCTTTATTTATTTATTGATGGATAAATAATTTTAAAATTCATAAAAAGAAATTAGGAATATTGCTTTGCAATTTTTAAAATCCAAAAACGAAATTGTCTTTTTAATGATCGGTATTATTAGATCTCATTAAACTAACTGAATATTCTTTCTCATTTACAAATTAACTTTAAGCATTTCTAATTACTAATATTTTTTGAGTGAAAAAAATGCTGCTAATTAATTAAAACCGAAAATGAATAAATTTCAAGCAATTATGAAGCAATAAATAAATAAAAGAAGTAGAGTGAAAGATAAATGAAGAAATATAAAATAGTTTGATTTAATTAAATGAATTTTTGAATTGAAAAAATAAATTGCTGATAAAATATGAACAAAAAGATAAAGTGATGATAAAAAGTTTATATTTTAATTTCAATTTTTTTTTTTTTAGAAAAAATGAATGATAGTGCAACGAATAGAAACGAACGAAATGATCGGATGTTCAGAGTTATAATTCAACGAGAAAAAATGATCACTTCCCAATCAAAAATTTTGAAATATTTTGACTAAAATAAAAAAAAAATTTATTAGCAATATTTGACAAAAAAAAAAATAACTAATTTTTCATTAACTTAAATTAGTAAATTAATTTTAAATTTTAGCTAATATTAACTATAATGAATGATATTTAGCATATGAAATTATTTTAAAATTCACATATTTTATTAGAATTAATGATGGATTTTAAATAATATTTATTGTAGGAATAAATTAAAATTTTATAATTTAAAATAATTTAATTTTTTCGATGTAATCAATTGTATGTAATACAGCATATTATGAATTATAAATATTAATTAGAATTATAAATAGAATTAATTAATTGCTTTATATAAATAATTAATTATACCAATTAGCTAATTAGTTGTATTATTTTGAACAAAAATAATATTAAATGAAATTGAAATTTAAATCTTATTAAAATTTACCAAACAGATGGCACATGAAATATTATTAGGAAAGGAGAAATAGGCAATGGTAGACGGCAGTTAATGAGGACAATATGTTTCTCGAGTAAAATTTAAAATGGAAATTTTGAATAATACATTAAGGTCATTTATGAAGCCTTTTCTTAAATTAATAATTCAACTGAAATAAGCACTTCTGTACAATTTAACAGTTTCATGCGACTATAATCATTTAAATGGAATTAAATTTTTTGTTACTTATAATTAAAATATGAAAATATTATGTGAAAGAATGAATTGAAAGAGTAATTCATTTTTCATTTTAACATTTGCAAAATATATTTTAACTGATCTATAAGGAAATAGATGGGAGTCATAAAAGAAACATTAATCATTAAAAAGTTAATTAATGATTTTCTTTGTCAGTTAATTTAAAAATTAAAATTAAAATGAATTGAGCAAATTTAAATGAAAGAATGAATGAAAATAGACAATGTTGTATTGTTTATTATTGACTATTAATTAATTCATTTACTGAAATACAAATTTCATACAATGTTTCATTTTTATTAGAAAGAGGAAATTAAACTTTCTTTTTCCAATGAAAACAAATTTTTTTTTTTTAAATGGAATTAGCAATAAGCTTTATACTCAAATATTTTTAAAATATCTCATAAACTTTAGCTAATATTATACAACGTTTGATGAAAACAAATGTATATTAATTTGAATTTCAGTTTTAACAAACTAAAATGTAATTCTTTAAAATAGAAACTTTAAAATAAAGTATATCAAAGTTTATATTAAAATTTAAAATACTTAAAAATATTACTTACGTGTTACTGACTTTAATAACTCATAATTCTTCGTTTTTTGTTTTTATTTAATTTAATTTTATACTATCATTACATTAAAATAACTACTTTCCGGGTAAATATTCAATCAAAATATTAAAAATATGTAACAATAACTTAAATTAGTACTTATGTGACATTTGAAATATTACATTTTTTTTTTCAGAAATCTTCAAATTCAAACAAAAAAAAAGGTACTCATCCTAAAAAAAAATTTCTTCCTTATAATGCTAAAATGAGCAAAAGTTAGGTTTAGTATTAGAATTTGAATAATTTTCTAGTAAAATAGATAACTTCATTATTATGTAACTTTCCTTTGAATATACCGCCACTATGGTACTTAAAAATTCTGCCTATTGCGCCTAATTTTTTCCGCCTATTTTAGCAAACAACTGTTTGTTGACCTTTGCTCTTATCTATTATTTCTTATTGACAAAATTTATGGCAATTTACGGTATTTGCTTAACTCAATTTCTTTTCTTTACTATTTCTTATATAAGAAATCAATAAGAAATGTAACAGTGAGAAAAGAGAAAAGTAGTTGAAATTTAATTGAAAAAAAATTGATTTAGTATCATTGAAAGATGCAAATAATATTGGTAAAATGAAATAATTTTTTAATGAAAGAAAAAGAAAAAAAAAACTTTGATAATTTATTAATTAAACTAAAATTAAATTATTTTATTAAAAAAAAAAAAATGATGATTTATAAGAAAATTCAATTATTTTTCGTTCGTTTTTTCTCTTTTTTTTTTTTTTGAAGCTATTTGATATAAAAATATTTGATATTATCAATTTGATTGTCAATCAATGCAAAATTGATTACTGCTAATGTGCACATTTTTGATAAATTACTGTCACATTAAGTCATCAAATAATTTCTTTTTCTCATAAAATTTATTTTATAATAATTCATATTCTGTTATTAATAAATATTTATTCTATTATTATTGAAAAAATTAAAAAAAAGAATTAAATATCGAATAATAAATCGATAGCAAAAAAAAAAAATATATTTAATTTCAATGGAAAATATTATTTAAAGGACACACACACATACAAAGGGAGAGAAAGAGAGAGAGAGGTAGAGAGAGAGAGAGGGAAGAGAAATTTTTTCATTTAAACAAGTTCTGCAAGAATATCCGGAATTTAATTTATTGCAGTAGTAATAATAAATAAAATAATACTTCAAAGTATATGCATATAACGAGAGGGATTTTATTTTTTGTAATGTTTCCGAAGTTTCAAGTAAAGTATACGGTTATGTATCCGGTTAAGAGCACAGTACATGTCCGGTTAAGAAGCACAGTACATGCTCGGTTAAGAAGCACAGTACATGTCCGGTTAAGAAGCGCAGTACATGTCCGGTTAAGAAGCACTCCAGTTAAGAAGTACAATACATGCTCGGTTAAGAAGCACAGTACATGTCCGGTTAAGAAGCATAGTACATATCCGGTTAATTTTGATTAAAGTGATTTTGATCTTTTTTGATGGCTGTACAATATGAAATTGAAATTAATTTGTTTCAAAGTGATAGCATTAATTGTATGAACTAAATTTGTTGCATTCTATGATTTAATTACAGTTTACTAATGAGATACAATTTAAATGGTTAAAGTTAAAGTTAGTAATCAATTTGCTTATCCAACTGGTCATTTGTATTTAAATAAATCTGATGGAATATATTCGTTTCTCAAATATTATTATAATATTAAATTTAAATTGTATAGACAATCTATCTCTTTCATATTATACATTCTTAGCAAATGGATTTTGAATTTAAATTTAATTTAATGGTTATAATATTTATTTATATAAAAATTTTTCAAAATTTTTATACATATATATATTTTGTATATAAATGAATTAAATGATTGAAAATTAAAATTAATGCAAAATCAAGATTTACTAAAATTATGATGTAATAATAAATAGTGTTGCTGAATTATTTATATCATTTTGAGAAATCTTTGCATTATTTATTTCATTTAAAACTAACCATTTAAATTTAAATCTTTCAAATAATAAATTTTATTAAACATTTTATTCATTTGATTAAACAATCCAAATATTCTTCGCACTTTTTTTTTTTGTTTCCTAACGTAAAATTACTTTTTAGTAGATTAATTAGCACATCAGATCTTTTCTTAATTTATTAGAAAGTTCTAAACGAGATTTTTTCTAATTGTTTGAGCTTCTGTTATTGTAAGAGTAATCAATGAGATTGATAACTTTGATTCGAGTAATAGGATTATACATATTAATTAGTGTTATTTTAATCAAAAAAAAAAAAATCTAACACTTAATTATAATGAAAATAAGGGGAAATCAATAAATGTATATAATAGTATAATTATAATAATATATAATTTAAATAATTTAACCTTGGAAATCAAAAAAATATATAATTTAAATAATTTAACCTTAGAAATCAAAAAAAGTGAAAGGGATGTTTGTAAAGTTTAATAAAATAAATTTCATTTTTATCATCATTACAGAACAGTTTGAAAGTTTTAAATGATTAATTTCAAATGAATTAAATGAAACAAATAATGCAAATTTTTTAAAATTATATTAATAATTAAGTAATACCGTTCTTTAATATATCAAAACTTTAGTTAATTTCAACTTTACTTTAACTTTTTGAAGAATTTTGCGTCATTTGTTTGCTTGAAATTTTATTATTTTAAATATTATTTGAAAAAAAGTTAAATTATTGTTATATCTGGAAATAAATATAAGTTTTTAGAGAAGGGCAAACAAAAAAAAAACGATAAAATATAGGAGACAATTAATTCAATAAAGTGGAGAGAAAAGAAAAAGGAATAAAATTTTATTAAAATTTCATCAATGTTGAAAAAAAAAAGGATAATGTTGGAATGATATTTGAATATGAATAAACATTAGAATTTTTCAATTAAATTTAAATTCAAAGCTTTTTCAATAATACAATCCATTTGTTAAGAATGTATAATATGAAAGAGATAGATTGTCCATACAATTTAAATTTAATATTATAATAATATTTGAGAAACGAATATATTCCATCAGATTTATTTAAATACAAATGACCAGTTGGATAAGCAAATTGATTACTAACTTTAACTTTAACCATTTAAATTGTATCTCATTAGTAAACTGTAATTAAATCATAGAATGCAACAAATTTAGTTATTTATCAACTTTTGTCTCTTTTTTTCTTTCTTTTCAAATCCAATGATATGTCCGTTTAGTAGCCATTGGTCATTACTGTATGATTATATTAGCATTTGATTGATGCATGTACAAATAAATAGAATTGCTTGCTTATTTGTTTAATGATAAGCTAAAAATAGTACACATTTGCTTTCAATCATTGCAAAAAAAAAAAAAAAAAATTAAATAAAATTTATAAAAAATTTCCTTGTGAACATTTTTTGAATTTACATACATTTGCGCTTAATGCAACTTTTTTTCATATATTAATCAATAAAGAAATTAAAATGTTTAATTTTGTAATTCATAGCAAAAAGTAAAAAACTTACTTTTTGAAATTTTGAAAAAATTTATTTCTTAAGAGTTTTAAAATTTTTAAAAAACAAAACCACCTAAATTTTCATATATTTATTTTTTTCCACTTGAAATTGACACATTTACTCAGTAATTTTTTTAGTGTTAGCAATTAAAACGCTAAAAATTTATGCCATACAGAAATTTCCAGAAGAAATATGCACGGATTATGTGAATATTAATGAGAAAATAATTTATTAGAAAATTGCTTTATTGTATTTAATTTCGTTCTCCTAAAATTATCCAACATATTTTTCTTAATTTGCTAATTAATTAATCCATTTTAAAGTAATTTATAATGTAACTGTAATAAAAGGTTTCAATCTTAGAGTTTATCCTTTTCTTTCCCTCTATTTTATCCCTATATTCCACTTTTAAATTAGAGTATATTGATGATATTTAAGTGAAAATAGGAAGAGATAAAAAATGATAAGTGATAAGCACTCGGTGCTAATAATCAAATAATAATATCACCCAACGAGATTTGTCGCAATGAAGAGATTTGGAGAAGAAAAAAAAAAACGAAAAAAATTAAATTAAAAAAAGTAATGGTTGATTAAGATATTAATGTAAAATTTTACAAGTATATTTAACGTGTGTTGTTTTTTACGTGAAATAACACTTTTTCTTCACGTAATCTCATCTTCACATACTTTACGTACGTTTGTTGGTCATTTTATTGTACTTTTAAATAAATTATTTCTTCTGCAACTATTGTACTGATTTTAAAATGAAAAAAGAAAATGAATTTTTTCTCACTTAATAAATATTTAAATCTTAGCAAATGAGTGCATTTTACATAAATTTGGAATTAGAAATTTTATTAACTTTGTTTAAATTAAATAAATTAAAATTAACAACAATCAAAAAAAAAAAAATGAGAAAAAACAGAAATACTACTAAAATGGGTTAACTTGTATAATTATTGATTGGGCAGAGTTAAATTAGTAATCATATGATAACAATTAGATAATCATATGATAACAATTAAATAATCATATGATAACAATTAAAAAAAACACATAACAATTGACTTAGGTAAGGATTTTTCTTTCCAAGAATACAATTACTTTTAAATTACTTAGATTGAATGTTATAATGAGATGTTAATTTATACAAAATGCATTTACATATGCAAAATATGTTGGCATTTATCAGTGATAGACATTTTTTAATGAAACAGTCTAGTGTTGCAAGCAAAAATTGTTTGAATAAGTTTTGTCTGATTTATCTTTAAGCACAAATTTCTCACACTTTTATGGTTTGAAGTTTGCATATATGGAACTATTGGCTTTGAATAAAAATACAGCATTGCTATTAAAAAATCGGTAAATTTTCAATTTAAATTTATAAAATATAAATTGTGGCGTGGTAGTGTCGACCCTGTGGCCTAATGGATAAGGCGTCTGACTTCTAATCAGAAGATTGCAGGTTCGACCCCTGCCAGGGTCGGTTAATGTCTACTGCACCAAAATTTGCAGTGCTTTTTGAGAAAATTGTATATGTGTAAATTAGAAGTAGTTAGTAGTGAATTTTCATTACCATTTCGTACTTAAATACTCTAAATATGATTTCAGATTTAAGCATATTACTTGTGTCACAGTGCAAATTTACAAACTTGAAGGAAATAGCTGGCATGAATTGACGAAAGATTTTGTCCTCTTGCATATGTATTATGATAGAGAAGATAAAGTAGCAAAATTGATTGCTATTGATGGCATTAAGGTTAGTAAACACTTTTTTTTTCTTTTAAATTTATAATTAGCATATTGCTCTAAAACATTTCATTGATGTCATTTTTATATGCTTTTTAAAAATTTTGATATTATATTAAAAGTGTTACATTGAACTTTAGTCAGATAAATTTGTCTATTAAATTAAGATAGATTTGATAATATTTGTTTGTATCAATTATCAATCAAATTCTTATCTTATTGAAGATAAAATGGAATTAAAAAAAAAATGTTTACAATATAATTTTTAGAGTATTTTCACAAAAGTTTTGAAAAATTATAGCTAATTATAAGAGGATTTATAATTTCATCTACACTTCAATTGGTGAGACCGACAAAAAAATTTGCACATTTTATTAGCTCAAAGCAAGGAAGATCAGAGATGTATGGTTTTGGTTTCTATCAAGTCTATGAAGTGGAGCAGGTTTGTTATTTTATTTAAACTTCTTGAAAAATCAATACATCAGGAATATATTAAGGATATAGAAAATGAGAAAGTATTTTTTATGATTAATTAAAATTTTCATTGTAAATCTTTATGTATAACAATAAATAGATGAAGAAATGAACCACTCATTTCTTTCAATAATATTTTGAATATAAAATTAATTAGTGTAAAAATCCAAAAAAAAAAAAAAAATGATTTATATTGCTATTTTTTCTAGCTATCTCTCTCTCTTTATCCCTCTATTCTCCCTTCCTTTTTCTTTCTTTCTTGATTTATTTTTATTTGAAAAATTTTAAGATTAGATTTTAGCTTAATAGCAGTAAATAAAATTCAAAACTGAATAATCAAAATATTTCTTCCATTTATTACAGTTTTTGCGATCATTCAACATTGTGTACAGGAAATTATATTTGTCATCCAGAAATGTAACTCAAAATGAATTTGAATACAGCAAAAGACATTCATCAATTTCATCGATAAAAACAGATTCGTCATGTCACATATCTTTGTCAACAACAAGTAATAAGTTTTCAAGAGTATTTCTTCATTTATGCTTATCATTTATATTTAGCACAAATCATGCAAACATAATTTTGGATGAATCAATCATTCTTTTTATTAATCAAATTTTTAATCAAATTTTATGCAAAATAATTTTAGCAAAAAAATCACATAGAGTATATAATTTTATCAATTGAAATGATAAGATAACTTTCATTAATTTTTAGCTTCTAAAAAAGATACGCATACTATCCCTTCACTTTATTCCACTAAAAAATCACCATGTCGAGAGCAGATATTTGCTGTTGATGTAAAGTATACTGAAAAACAAATGCAAAAACTATCGTTTGCTTCTACCACAAGCTCAACACTTACTTCGGTAAGCAAAAAAAAAAGATTAAAACAATATTTGCTGAATAAATCAAATTGGAATTAATTTGATCAATTCCATTTTTTTGAAAATAATTTTGAATTTTGTAAATATTATCACAATCTTTTACAGTAATTGCTTTAATCATATCTATATTGCAATGTAAAACTGATATAGTTAAAAGTGATAAGTTATCATTGCACATTTTTTGAAAATTAAACTTTTAGTATTGTGCAGTGATGAATTAAGCAGTGAAGAAAATAAATAATGCATAAAGTTTAGTTATATGTTTTTTTAATATATTTTTTTTTTTTTTTAATAAAATTTTACTAGCTCTTCAGATGCCTTCCCTGTTGACACAAACTTCCGTAAACGCAAGAAATAGTTTGTATTCCAGTAACTCTGCTACAATTGGTAAGCAACACGTAACGTACGCTTTCATTTCTCATTCTGATATTTTTCGTTTTCAGAAAAAAATAAAGTGGATTTCTCACTTTCTTATGTTAGCTAAAGTTTAGAAGAAGTAAACAGTTAACTGAAAAATTATCAAATTGTATAATTAAGCAGTTTAAGAATTTTTCAATTAGAATTTGAGATTTTTAGCAAATTTTTTGTTTCAGATGCTAACACAGATGTTTCTCGATCAGTTGAGCAAAAGCAGTATCAGCTATGGGGTACTACACCATGGAATACTTTACTTGAACAAAAAGTTTGCAGTAATCAAGAAAGTATCACTTCTACGTGGAATTCACTTTTAAACCATTAAAATAATATTTCAAACGGTTTATAGTATTTCTGTGTATTATAAAGATATTTGCATTGATTTGCATAGAACTGTAAATATTTCAAATAATTATTTTCTTTTATTTTTAATAATGATTAATTATACTGTGATACATTTGTTCTTTTCACTCTTTCAATTTCAATTAAACAAATTATGTTTTATCTTTTTCAACGCTATTTCTTGTTTAAAAATTGTTTTTTTTTTTTTAAAAAAAAAAAGAAGCTAAAGTTTATTCAAATTAAAATTTTTCTTGTTTTATAATTATAATAAGTAGTGTGTGAACCAATAAATTTTCATTGACAAAATGAATATCTAATAAAATCATTAAAATCCGAGAAAATTTTCAACATTATACTAAAAATCTCGAAGAAAATGAGAATCTTTTCTTATCCAAAAAATTTTGACTTATTGATTTCCGATAATAAAAAACAATATTAAAATTGTTCCTTGCTCAAATAATAATTATAAATGGTTTGCATTGTATTTGATCAAAGTGATCAGGAAAGATCAATATTCTTCCAATTAAATTTGATAACTTTTTCAATCATATATTTTTTTAAATAAATAATTTCTTCATTAAAAATGGCTATACAGTGCTCACATGAATCATCTATTATAATGTTATATCTATATTCATCCTATTACTATTTTCCTTTGTCAAAAAACATTTTTATTCTCAAAATTTGAAATGGAGAAAAAAAAGAGGGAAAGAGAAGGAGGGAGAGAGAAGGAGAGAAGAGAGAGAGAGAGAAAGAGAAAGAAAACGTGGTTTTTTTTTCACGAATAAATAAGATTCTTTAATTTCAGAAAATTTCAAAAAAAATTTTTTTTTTTTTTGCTATTGCTTGCTTTTTTCAAATTAATTAAACAAATGAGACTAATTCACTTAAATAGGATTAAATTTTATCATTAAATTTAAACTAAGCATTTTATTAATTTCAAAACTAATATTAAGTGAGGCATAATTTGAAACTCATATTCTGTTGCTAGGCAACTGAACAGCTTTAATATTTTGCTATATTCTACAATTCCTTTCCCTCTTGTTTATTAATCAAAAAGAAAATTGTCAAATTTACAAAAAAATAAAAGGAAAACTTTTTGTCGACACACTATTTTTGACTTTCTTTTGAGTTTTTCCACATAAAAAATTGAATTGAATTTTAAATTTAATTACTTTTAAATTTACCACATGCATTTTTCTTATGATTTATAGTATATCCAACATCAAATTTATTCCATAATTTCATTCAACTATTTCTTTCATTTGTAAATTATCTACTAATTAAGCATTATATTCTCTACAAATATTGCATTCATATGTTTTCTTAAAAAAATTATTTATTAACTATTTGAAAAAAAAAAAATAACAAAAAATTAAATCTTATTCTTTACTTTTCTAAATCAACATTTAACCATTGCATATATTAAACAGTTATCTTTAAATAATAATACTTTTCTTAAAATTTAAAGAAAAAAAACTCTTTTCAACCTTTAAAAATAACTTTTTGCTTTTTGCCCCTTTCTTTTCTTTTTTTTTTCTCCTTTTTCCTATTTTCCCCGTTTTCCATCAATTCTCATATTTAATTGATAGAAATATGATAATTTATAATCAAAAAAATCAACATAAATTATCAATTTAAGTTAACTATTTTAACTAATGTTAATTGAACGATTTGAATTAATATTAGAACAAAATTGCCTGTCTAAATTTTAAAATATCATTTTAAAATTTTCATTCTTCCTTTTATAATCAGTAAAAATTAAATAAGAAGTGTATGTTTTATAAATGAATTTACACCGTTTTGTTTATAGAAATAGAATGAAAAATGTTCAAAACAAAGAGGTCAAAGAGCTTGACTGGTCACTCTACTGCAATATACTTTATCATCTTCAAGAAGGTTATTATGGGACAGCTTTGACAATTTGTGATGAGGAATCACATAAAGCAAATGAATCACATCAACTTATACTATTTCGATCAATTGCTATGATTAAATATGGTTTCATTTTTTTATTTTGCATCTTTTTTTTTCCTTTCTCCCTCTCTCTCTCTCTCTCTCTCTGTCTTTCTTCATTGAATTATTTTTAAAAATAAAAAATGAATTTATTGTTTTTGCTTAGCTTTTTTTTGTCATTCAATTGTTAAACATTTAAAGAATCTTATATGCCTTTTATTTCTTCCTATTAATTCTACAAATTCTTCGATCTCATTAGTTTAAGGTCAATTCTTTAATAAATATATTAATTTAAGGTCAATTTAAGGTCAATATGTTGAAGTAATACGATTACTTCATCAACATCATCATGATACAATTATTGGATTTGCAGCATCAATAATTCTTCGAACAGCGCATTCTTTGCTCAAAAATCCAGGTTTTTTTGTGTTAAAATATTAAGCTTTTATGATTTAAAACAAAATAATTAATTTCAAATTAATTGCAATAAAAAGTTTAGCAAAAAAATTTTATGTTTTTTTTTTTTTACAAATTAAATAAAGAAATTTAATTATGAGATTTAATTTAATTACAAATAATGATTTAATTCTTTAATTATTTAATTACTATCATAGATCGAGAAGAAATATCGGAATTGGATCAAATTATCAATGAAGCATTTATTAATGCAAATGATGATGCAAGATATAATGCAGCAATTGCATGCATGTTACTTGATAACAATGATAAAGCTTATTCAATAATTGAAAAAACAATCAATTCTAGCAATATTCAAGTATTCTAATTATATTAATTAAAATTTTTTTTTTTTAAATTCAAAATATAATTTAAATTGAAATTATATTAATATTGTATGGAATGTTTTTTTTTTTTTTTTTTTTCAGTGTATTGTTTTGAAAGCATGGATTGAGCTAAATCGTGGTAAAGATATAAATATTGCGCAAAAACTTTTTAAAAAAGGCATTACAGCAGGTTTATTTGTTTACATTTTTCTTCAAAGTATTTATTTGCTACAAAATTTAAAAATACAAAAATTTTCTTTTTTTTTCTTTGCATATTTTATATTTAAAAAATATAGGGAAATTTGTTAAAATTTATTTGTTATCATTAAATTTTTCATCGGAAATTAATAGAAGCTAATTTTAAAGTGTTATAAAGCTTTCAAACTTTAAAGAGTTACATAGTAAATAACAGAAAAAAAAAAAAACTAACCTGTAATTATTCAAACAGTTAATTTTTTCTATTTATTATACTAAAAATATTATTGAGTATATTTTCTTTGAATGAAATTTTAACTCTAATGAAAATTTTATAATTAAAAAAAAAAAAATTGAAATTGAAATTAAAAATAAAAGAAATAATTAGAATATCCTAATGCATACATTGGAATGATACGTTTATTGGAAAGACGACGAAATTTAACAGAGTTACGTCAAATTCTTCAAATTTTAATTAAAAAAGCTCCAACGTTTCTTCCGGGATATATTGAATATTGCAAAGTATATTTGATGTGCTTTGATTGGGAACATTGTATGGAACAAATACAACGAACTCTACTTTTACAGGTATTTAATTACAATTATAAAATATTAATATTATTATCAAAAATTGGCTTAATTTTTTTTTTTTTGATTTCACAAATTTTAAATATTTTTTGGAGAATATTTTAAAAATTTTACTTACAAAAATAATTTTACATTTATTGAAATTTTAGACAAAAAGGAAAAATATTGTTAGCATTTAGAAATATAATATAAAATTAAAAATAATAAATTTATTATTGAAAAAAAATTTTTTTTTTTTTTTTAGAATGATTGTTTACAAGTTCTTTGGTTTGAAGTGATAAATGAATTGATTATAAAAGGTCGTATAACAGAAATGGAAAATATTTTGCAAAATTTTGCTGAAGTAATCGAGAAAAATGAATCAAAGAATTATCAGTTGCATTATAAAATTGCACAGTTTATCATTCGAACTACTACATTTGATCATCCAGCAGCTAAATTTGCCAAGTTTTCTTCTCTTTTTCATTAAATCTAATTATTTATTCACACAAAAAAAAAAAAAAAAAAAAAAATTAGTTGTAGAAGAGGAAATAAGCATAAGCAAAGCTTAATCAAATATAAATTAATTATTTCATTTCATAATTTAGTATTGATATTCTTAGTAATTTTTTTTCAGTCAAGTAAACTAAGCTTTTTGTTCTAATTGCTAGCTGTTATATTTTAATTTATTTGATTTAATTGCTAGCTGTTATATTTTAATTTATTTGATCTAATTGCTAGCTGTTATATTTTAATTTATTTGATCTAATTGCTAGCTGTTATATTTTAATTTATTTGATCTAATTGCTAGCTGTTATATTTTAATTTATTTGATCTAATTGCTAGCTGTTATATTTTAATTTATTTGATCTAATTGCTAGCTGTTATATTTTAATTTATTTGATCTAATTGCTAGCTGTTATATTTTAATTTATTTGATCTAATTGCTAGCTGTTATATTTTAATTTATTTGATCTAATTGCTAGCTGTTATATTTTAATTTATTTGATCTAATTGCTAGCTGTTATATTTTAATTTATTTGATCTAATTGCTAGCTGTTATATTTTAATTTATTTGATCTAATTGCTAGCTGTTATATTTTAATTTATTTGTTCTAATTGCTAGCTGTTATATTTTAATTTATTTGATCTAATTGCTAGTTGTTATATTTTAATTTATTTGATCTAATTGCTAGTTGTTATATTTTAATTTATTTGATCTAATTGCTAGTTGTTATATTTTAATTTATTTGATCTAATTGCTAGTTGTTATATTTTAATTTATTTGATCTAATTGCTAGCTGTTATATTTTAATTTATTTGATCTAATTGCTAGCTGTTATATTTTAATTTATTTGATCTAATTGCTAGCTGTTATATTTTAATTTATTTGATCTAATTGCTAGCTGTTATATTTTAATTTATTTGATCTAATTGCTAGCTGTTATATTTTAATTTATTTGATCTAATTGCTAGCTGTTATATTTTAATTTATTTGATCTAATTGCTAGCTGTTATATTTTAATTTATTTGTTCTAATTGCTAGCTGTTATATTTTAATTTATTTGATCTAATTGCTAGTTGTTATATTTTAATTTAATTATGTAATTTTTTTTTATCATTCAAAATGAAACAAAACAATATGTAGTAATAAGCAATCATAGCAAACTCATTAAATTTATAAATCAATTTAATTAATCAAATTTTTTAATTTTTAAAAGTCTTCCCCTTAAATTATATTTACTAATCAAAAATTAATTACTTCTAGAAAACTACTTGATAGAGTAATTTCGATAACAAACAATCAGAACTGTTTATATGAACAGATGAGATTATTGTTACAAGGTGGAGATTTTAAAGCAGCTGAAGCAATTACATTTGAAGCATTAAAAGATGATTTTACTACGCCAAATGAATTAATATTAATTGGTGATAATTTTTTTTATTATCTTATCTTTTATCAATGATAAATTTTCTTGAAGCTTTTTTTTTTCCTTTCTTTTTCTTGAATTATTTATTATTTAATAAATAATTTATAGGTATAGCACAATGTTTTCTTGCAAAAGGTCATATGAATGATGCAATAACTCAAATGGAATTTGTAAAAGTAACACATCCAAATATCTGTCAAACAAGTGTAAGATTAATTCATAATTATTCATATATATTTGATAAATTATCGGTTATTTTTTAAATTTTAAAATTTTTAAAAAATTTCAGTTATATATTTATGTGATGGCAGTATTAGATAAAGAACAACATAAACCATTTGAACAATTCTTTCAAAAAATACAAAATGCAATAGATGTACATTTATCAATGTTACAGGTTTACTTTCCTTTTTTTTTTTCTGATTAAACTTACTTTTTAAGCTTACTTATTCTTACTTATTCAATTCTCTTCTATACTTACTATATTTTAGCAATTACAATGCTTCAATAAATTCCAACTGAAAAGCTTTCAATAGCTCTCATTTAAGCAATTTTTTATGTTTACAATAATCGAAGTTAATTTAACTCTAATTTACTACTTTTTTATAAATAATTATAAAAGAAAATTCTTTTCAGAGTGTTGTTTTTGGTCCAGAATATTTGACATTACTTGATCCAAACTTATTAATTGATATAGCATTGCAACTTTATGAATTTGCACCATTAACGGTAAATTATTTTTTAATTCAACATGCTATGAAAAAAAAAATTTTTTTTTTAAATTAACTAATTAAATGATAATTTATTAAATTAGATTAAAATAGAAATAATCAAAATTAAGCTAAATGATATTAAAGTATTTATAGTAGAAACTATGAATTTTTAGCCAACAAATTCAACTAATGTTGTACTCAAAGAAATTGATAGAGTTTTGACATTAGTTCAAAATTATTGTCCAGGTATGTATTTCTTGTCATTTTTTTTTTTTTGACACATAAAATATAAAATTAAATTTCATATAGATATATTTAACTTTGTCAACCACTGGAAACGTTCATTTGTAATTACAAAAAATTAATCAAATCGTTAACAAATGAAAAAGTTATATTGCAACTTAATTTTGTCCATTCAATTTGATCAGTTTAAAATTGCTGTAATTTAAAAATTTTTTCAAATATAATTTCAGCATTATTAATTGCTACATATCTGTTAGCTAAAGCAAAATATCTTTCAATGAATTTTACTGAAGCAAAACAATTATTAGAATGTTGCATTGATAGAAATGATGCACCACCGGAAGCTCATTTACTTATGGCACAGGTATTATTATTATTATTATTATTATTATTATTATTATTATTATTATTATTATTATTATTATTATTATTATGCTAATATTTAGAAATTAAATCATAATTAATACTCTTTTAAATTTTCTCTTTTAATTTTTCAAATATTTTAGATTCATTTTCACAGAAATAACTATGAAGAGGCTGGCAAATGCTTGGATATTGGTTTAAGTAATAATTTCAAAGTTCGAGAGCATCCACTTTATCATCTTATCAGGGCAAAATTACAAAAGAATTCGAAACAAATTGCTGCATCGATACAAACATTACAGAAAGCAATCGAATTACCTTCATTTAAAGCTAGTGCGCTTTTTTTATTTTTTTTTTGGTTTACATTATATTACTATTAACACTTATGCACCTTTCAACTGTTTAAATTAAAAAGAGATTTTATCAGTGTGATAATAGATAAAGATCTCATATCTTTCTTTTATCATTTTCAACAAATCAGTTGAATAGCTTAGTTTGATTTTAAGAATAGTTTGAATGTTCTTTATTTATGCTTTATTATAATTAAAATCTTATCATTTACCAAAATTTTTACCTCAATAAAATTCTTTTCTGTGATTTAATTTCAAATGCAAAAATAGAATTAATTTAATACTTCAAGATGAAAAAAAAAAGTGAAAAGAAAATAGAATTATATAATTCATAAGAGAAAAGAAAAAAAGAAAAAAAAAATGAAAAAAAGTTTTTTATGATAAAAAATTTTGATAAAACAATTTTAAAATTATCAAATTTCAGATGAATCGAGAAAACGTGAGAATTTAGAGGTTATTGATGCGGATCGTATTGCAATTTATTTGGAATTAATGGATTCTTATCAACAACTTGGACAACTTGTATGCTTCCCTTTTTTTTTTTTTTTAAATTTCAAATTTTAAATTTTAATTCAAATTATATTTAAAGGCAGAAGTTGACGAAGTGATGAGAGAAGCGCGTAAACGTTGGACTGATAAGACGGAACAGCAACAATTTGTGCTAATGGAAGCAAATTTGAAATTACAGCGCAAAGATATTAATGGCGCATTAGAGAAGCTTACAACTATACCAGCAACCGATGCTAATTATCAAAATGCTCGAATTAAAATGGCTGAAATTTATTTAAATGAAAAAAAAGATAAACGAAAATTTGCTCTGTGCTTTAAGTATATTTGCTATTTTTATTTTATTAATTAAAAAAATTTAAAAAAAGAAATAAATTCAGGAGTAATTCTTATAATAACTTCTCTTTCAGTGATTTTTTTTTTTTTTTAGCAAAAATTATTGTAATAAAAATTTAAATGGAGAAAAAAAAAATGTTAATATTGCACTGATAGTGATATTATTTTTATTTGCTTAACATTTTCAAATATTGATTAAAATGTTGGCTTTAATTATGGCACTTTTAAATAATTAAATAAGACTAAAAAAATTCGGATATAGATTGCTTTATTAATTTAGCTTTTAGTTAATATTTACAATAAACATTGAAATACCTTACACTAAATTAATTAGTTAATGAGTTATATTGCAAAAAAAAAAAAAAAATTAAATTTGTTATGCGTAGTGGATTAATTTACCTACTAAATGTAATAATACATGTTGAAATTTTGATATGATATTTATATTTAATTACTATTTAAACATGAAATAATTAGTAAATATAGTTATAAATACAATTAGACATCAGAATGACCAATCTATAAAATTTCATTCATAACTGAAATTAATTTAACATTCATTTTTTTTCAACTTTAAATTGCATTTTCAGAGAGATTGCACAAAATAATCCATCACCAATGGCATATGTATTACTTGGTGATGCTTATATGAGCATACAAGAGGTTTTGTAATTGCTGCAATTTTCTATACACTAATTTTGTTCATTTCAAAAATAAAATAGAAGAAAAAAAATTTTTTTTAAATTTCAAAAAATTTATTTTAGCCAGCACAAGCAATTGAAGTATATGAAACAGCGTTGAAAATGAATCCAAAAGATGATGTTTTAGCTGAAAAAATAGGCCAAGCATATGTACAGTGTCATTTTTATACAAAGGTATTTTAATTTGATTAATTTTATCTTTATTTATAATAGTAAGAAAAATTTACAAAATTTTAAAATTGGATTAAAAATAATGAACAGAAGATAATAATTGTATCATTGCTATATTTTGATAACATTAAATGCCATTAGATGTCTAATGAAAATTTAAATTTAAAGATTTAAAAAGTATAATTACGCTCATGGAAAGCATACAAAGAAAAGTTTATTTGCAATTTAATAAATTTAATGATTCAGTCAGTGTGTTTAACTTCAAAAAATATTTGAATTGTTCAGGCAATTAATTACTATGAAGCGGCATTGAAAAGTGGACGTAAACCAGTGATGAGAATGCGCTTGGCGGAATTGTTATTTCAGCTAGAATACTATGAAAAATGTGAAAAAGTATTACGTCAAGCGCTTGATTCAGATCAAAATCCTACCGGTAAATTGATAAATTATTTTGTAGCAATTTAAAAAATTATAGCTAAAAAGGAAAATTTATTTATTAAAATATGTATTTTTTAATTTTTTTATGTTTATTTATTAAAATATGTACTTTTTATGTTATTAATGATAAATGAATTTATTAAATTTAAAATTAACGATTTTATTTTATCCCAATTGACTTTTAAAATTAAGCAATTTAAAATTTTAAAAAAAAAAATGCAAAAAAAATTTATACATTATACAGTTACATTACGGTGTTTTTTTTTTGAATTTCATTTTTGAAGAATTAAATTCTAGGAGTGTTCATTTAGACATTAGCGGAATGAGTGATCATGTATCCTACTGGTCTTTACTATCAAAATTACATTTTGAAAATGGTAATTGGAAAGAAGCAACAACAGCACTGGAACGTGCACGTGAAATTCAATTATCTATAATTTCAAAACCACCAGGCGAAGTTGCAAATCTTATTGATGAGAAAAAACTTGCTGCAAAGTATGTCTTTCTTCTTAATCTTCAACTTTTCAAATTTTCAAATTTTTAGTTTTTTTAATATATATAAAATTGATAAAGAAATATGAATACTTTTAAATGTTAAATTTATTTTTTAAAAAAAATTAAAACACTATATTATATATTAGGTAGAATTTAGATCATCAAAAAAAAAAAAAAATTATATACTAGGTGGAATCATCGAAAGTTCAAGAATGTAAATATTTTTAGGATATGCTGTCAGCTAGCAGAATTACATTGGAATCGACGAGATGCTAATAAAGCCATTGAACTTTATCAGGAAGCCATTTTTTTCAATAATACTGATATTAAGGTAAGAATTTCAGGTTAAAAGAAAAATGAATTGAATTGAATTAAATACAGTAAAGTGAAAAAGAAAAAAAAATAATAAAATGATAAGATTGTAAAAATAAAAGATTTTGAAAATTATCACAGTAAAATATACAATCACAGCAAGCTGATATATTATTATCAAATAAAAGTATGAAATAGAATTAAATTCCTAAAATTAGTAATATAGTAATAAATTTTTGTCTTATTTGAAGTTACTTATTCCTTCTTTAATCATTTTGTTAAAGGTATGTGTTTTATTTTAAATGCAAATTATATAATCTTATTTCATAATGAATTTCATCTATGATTTAATTTTAAAATATAATAAAGCATATGTTTATTTTTAAATTCAAATTACAAACAATATTTAAAATTTTGAAATTTAGATAATGACAGCACTTGCAAATTTATATCTTTCACTTGGCAAATTGGATGCTTGCAATACACAATGTCAATTAATTTTAAACATTGATCGGAATAACAATGATGCAACATTAGTATGTTCAATTTTATCTTATTAATACATGCATATTTTTAAATTCTATTTTTTAAAAAAAATTTATTGAAATTTCTTTCTTTTTTTTTTTTATACAGATGATGGCTGATTTATTGTATCAATCTAATGAAGCTGGAAAAGCAACTATTCATTTTACACAATTGCTTAATAGAAATCCAAGTATGTAATATAAATGATTAATTTTAAAACATTTTTTGTATTTTCATATTATTTTGCTCTTATTGATTTAATAATTTTCCTAAAATTAAATAATAAATAAAGCTAAAAATTTATGGAATAAAAATATATTTATTATTTTTCATTTTTTTTTTTTTTTTTAAATGAATTATTTAAAAAATCTAAAGATCAATATCATGCGCTAGCAAGATGTATAGAATTGAGTTGGCGGAGAGGTGACGTGGAACAAGCGGAAAAATATCTTAGAAATGCTCTTAATATGAATCCACGTGCTACACTTGACGCTGGTTTCAATTACTGCAAAGGACTTAATGAATGGTAATTGAAGTTGTTGTTTTGCTCTTTTTTAAATAAATAAATTTTTCAAAAACAAAATTAAATGATAGATTTTAAAATTCAACTTCAAATTTCTTTAGGAATATAAATGGTAAAGGAAAAAAAATATATCATTTAGGAAATTATCATAAAAATATAAGATCATATTTTTTTTTTCTAAAGCAAATTTAAAATTTAAATTAAATCTTGATTAATCTAAAATTTTGAGGTATACTGGTGATCCAAATGCAGCACTGCAAGCATTCAATCGTGCACGACGTGATCTGGAATGGGGTGAACGAGCTACTTATAATATGATTGAAATATGTTTAAATCCAGATAATGAAATAATTGGAGGAGGAGGAGGGGGAACGATTGACTATAATCAAGATTGCAAAACGTTTGTTTTTTAAAAAAAAAAAAAAAAAAACCTTTTTCTTTCTTTTAGAATAGATTTGCTATTGGAATTATTTTTATACAAAGTTAAATTTATCTTCAGACTTTTAAAATATTATCCAAACAAAAGAAAAAAGTTATACTTAATGAGACAGTTCAAGAAAATGCTACAATTATACAATTTTTCATTCTTTTTTTTTTTTCAATTTTTCTACTAAACTTTTTCTAGAAACAATGGAAATGATCGAGAAATGGGTACAAAGACAGCGGAAGGATTTCTGAAGGTAAAATTTAACTTCTTTATAACAGTCATTTTTATATTTATATCAATTCAAATTGTAATTTTATATATAAAGTAACATTCAAAAAATAATAACAATAATAATTACTCAGCAGTTGCATGGAGGTCATTAAAAGGAGTAAAAAAATTTTTTTTATTAAATTAGTGTATCACTTATCAATTTACATTTTTAACTTTTCTTAAAAAAAGCTCATTAGAACTTGCATTAACTCTTTAAACACTGAATGATTAAAGGAAAATATAATATTTCATTTTTCCAGTAGAGGAATTTAATAAAAACTTCTAAAATGCATCAATCTTTTATCATTTCACTAAATCTATAAGCTGCATTCACCCTGTCAGTGTCACCATGTCCTGTCATACTTTAAAATAAAAACTTGTCCATACTGTCAACCTTCCGATCATTGTACATGCTTTGGTAAAAGTTAACTTTTACCTTAATTGATAATATAAAATAAAACGATTCAATCAAAAATATTACAACAAAAAAAAGTTAAAGCTTATTTTCTCCTCGAAGATTAAACATTGAAGAATGACTAAGACTTAAAACTGACAATTTTACAGGAATTACAAAACAGGCCTGGACTGGACTATAAGTATCGGCTAATGGAAAATTTCATCTTGTTAATGAGCGGTAATCGAGCAAATGTGCAACAGTCACTAACAAATTTCCTTAGCATGGCGGAAACTGAAAATTCGGTCCTTCTTTGTATTGCTTTAAATTAAACTTAAATGAACTCCATCATAACTTAACAGAAACATTCATTTTTTTTAAGGGAATGATAAGCGTTGGTGCACTTCTTGGTTCAGCTCGAGCTTATTTAATGTTAAAACAAATACCAAAAGCAAAAGCTCAGTTGAAACGTGTACTTGGCCATACATGGACATTAGAGGATGCTGATAACTTGGAGAAATGTGCATTCTATCACAGTTTAATTAACTTTTCTCTGAACTGAAATTTGATGATGGAACCTTGATTAGTTTATATCATTTGGCAAATTTATCCAACTTTAAATTCCAATATGACAAACCAAGGAATTGTTGGTAATTACATAAATCATGAACCAACGAATTGTCAATTATGCAAAAATTTGGTACTTAACTACTAAAATTAAGAGGACAAAACTGTCCAACTCTGATTTCTTTCTTCTTTCTTAATCAATCATTGAATCATTTTGAAATTGAAATAATTTCATATAGGTTGGTTGTTATTAGTTGATATCTACATTAATCAAGGCAAACATGATCAAGCTTCCGATATATTGCGAACTGTTTTACAGCATAATGCGGTGATTTGATTTTCAAAAATTGAAATATAAGAATTTGTTGAAATGCATAAGAAAAATTAACTATATAATAAAAAAAAAACAAATAATCTTTTACCATCGATAATTATTGCTAAATGCGATATGATTAGCACTTGTAAAGAAAATGCCAAATCCCAAAACTAAAAAAAAAAAGAAACTATAAAGTAATGAAGTTTTCAGAGTTCAATTAAAGCATTTGAATACAAAGGCTATATTTGTGAAAGAGAGCAGAAATGGGATGAAGCGGCCGCAAATTATGAAGTGGCTTGGCGTTTAAGTAAATGCAGGAATCCAACTATTGGTAGGATTTTTTGATAAGTAATGAATAATTTAAATAGGAGGCATATCATAAGTTGTGATATATCCATAACAATTTATAAACTGTTTATTAGTTTTGCTTAACTAGAAATGCAAAAATAAGGTTTACAGGTTACAAACTTGCTTATAATTATTTGAAATGTCGAAAGCTTTTCGATTGTATCGAAATATGCCATCGTGTGCTGGAACTTTACCCAAATTATCCGCGAATCAAACGTGAAATTATGGACAAAGCAAGAGCAAACATACGCACATGATTAATTCAGAAAAGCTTCCAGAGCAGTTATGTGATGCAGAAAGTTATCTGTGCTGTATTTTTTTTTAGTTTCTATTCAAAAAAAAAAAAAAGTATGACACTTCATCTTGCAATTTCAAAGATTTAATAACAAATTAAATTAAACTGCATTCATTACATATAACAGTAAATAACAATTTATTACAATCAACAACAGACGGAAAATATATTAAAATTATGACTTTCAAATCCAAATCCACCCGTTCACGTAAATCAGCAACGTTACAGCTCTATGTGTTATTACCGCTTCATATTAACAGCTTTTGAAGCATAAAATCAGCAGAAAAACTGGTCATTGTAAGATAAAAAATGGATCAATTCATCATAAGGGCATTCTCAAACTACTCAATTCCAAATAGCTTTAAAAAAAATACTATTCTCCCTATATACAGTAGCTATTCTCAAGCTATTTGAATATAGATCATATTTTTTTTTCTTTTTTTTAAAAGTTAAAGCAGTAAAATACAGTTTGACCACTCACATAACATTGAAGATTCTCCTCAAAGCATATCTAGAAAAGAAACCGCACTGAAAATTTTGCCACCATTAGCTAGAATCATCATCGGTAATACGTCTTTCCAGTTCAGTATATTGCTGAAAAGTCGTATACGTCTTCCCAATTTTCCTATTTCTTTTGATCTAAAAGTACAACTTTTAGTGTATAACTTCAAATATCATTCCAAAACTTTACTTTAGTATCAGAGTAAGCTTTACGGCACTGCTAAACATTTGAAATCTACTCTTAATTTGTCTTACTTGACATCAGCATGCAAGTCTCTTTCCCAGTCGATCAGTAACATATACAACATTTACTTTCTTAACGCTTACAACTTCCATTTTCTTTGTTATAACTCTAAGCATTAAACAGAGAACACCATTATACACTATATTAGAAAAATTCTGACTAATCTGTGGAAAAAAAAAAAGAATCTAACTTATAAACTTAACTCAATTTCTTAATTTGCATTTATGACACGATCCAGATGTCGACGTAATTAAATATATTACTGCCAATAAACTTTTAAAAAATCTTTACATTTTTGATAATTGTAAATCACAAAGTACAATATATTTCCAGTGTGTTTCACCTCTCCCTTCCAAAAAAAAAATTCAATGAAAAAGAATTTCATAATATTAACACAGATACAAAAAGTTTTCACCTTCAATTTTATAGGTGGATTCCACGAATAGGATAACGTAGTTTCACCATTGCACGCATTAACCACGCCAAATGCAATGCGCTTGATACAGTCAACTTCATCTAATAGAAGCGATCGACAACAAGATATAAATCTGAAAGTAATACATAAAATGCAAAAAACTAGGCTTTAAATATTTTTGATTATAAGCATTGCTAACTCCAATTTACATATGTAAACAAAATCTAAAAATGTAAGATTAAATATTTGGGACACTGTTTCAACAACAAGTACTATTCTTAGTCAACCAATATTCATTCGTTACTTCTTTTCTAAAGCTTCCGGAAATATATATTAGAATGCTTCGATCTTTCATAACTGTCATCAGTCTCTTAGTAACTCACTGAATTTTTTATGAAGATAATTTACTTTATTTAGTAAAATTTCCAACTAAAAATTAACCTAAATCTATAACAAGGAGAATGAGTCAGCATGGTGCATGAAGTACGAGAAACCATCATTAAAGCGTGCGCTGCATGCAACCTCCACAATTCTTTCGATGAATAAGCATGCTTCTCAATTTCCGTAAGTAAAGCTCCAAAATGTTCAAAAGAAACAAAACGGTTATCATTAAGCACTTTGTCAGTTTTTTGAATTAAACTGGGCAATAGAGCAATGGAATGTGAACCGAAAGAATGAAATGAATCAAATGGCGAATCCAGGAATTCCATTCTGAAATGATTGAATGTATAATAAAATGACGGCAACATTATCACTGATCAATTTCATAAAATTAAAGATAGCAAACTTCACCACATTACATGGCAGATGCTTGATGGAAATGAAACATAAGTTAAAACAAGAAAAAACTTAATATCATAAGTGAGAGAAATTCAACTTACGCTTCTAATTCTGAGATAGCATAGTTCAAAGAATTTTTAATATTCAGTGGCAATTTACGTTCCACGATGCTCTTCAATCGATGCATTAATTTTCTTCTACAAGATACCAAACGCAACAAAGCAGATACTAGCAAACGATTGATTCGCATATTAGGACTCACCACGAGCAAAGAAACAAGTTTGTTCACCAACGACTGCAGATGTCTACAACGAAAATTCCATTCCATCTTATTATCTCAATTCTGATCATTGTAAATATGATATTTGAGACAAATTAATGTAAACGCGTTGTAATCATTAACTTAATGACTAAGTTAATTAAGCAAATGACATACATAAGATTCACTTCTTCAGATTGGCCAATCTGTTTTGCAAATGCAGAAAACAAGAAAAATTTCCCTATCTCTAATCATGAAATAAAACTTAGCAACTGAAATTATTTCATCTTCTTTTAAATGACAATTTATCAGTGGCAACTATCATAATCTTAATTAATCTAGACATTTTCACCTCAAAATTCCAAACACAACATAGATTCATGGATTTAATCACCTGTTTTTTTCAATAATGAATTTACTTAAACCCCTCAAAATTAAAGTGAAAAAAAAAATTACTTTAATTGAGCTGTGGTGTAAAATGATGCGCTCACAAAACGTAATTTCTCCAACAATGAAAGTAGCAGTATTAAAGCTGGATCATGCACCGTTGTCTGTTCCAGCTGTTGACAATATTCATTCCATAGTAAGTCGTGTTGTAAGGCAAACATGAAGAGAGGAGTCCCGTAATCTATGTCATCTATGAGTTTGTGAAGTAATGCAGCTGAAAAAACTCATGAATTTTCATCATCAAAAATTGTAAACCTTGAAGTTTAATACTTCTTAAAATTATTAGCATTTTACCAATAAAAGCCTCTCTGTTTATAAGAACTTAGTCTCTCTCTCTCTCTCTCTCTCTCTCTCTCTCTCTCCATCCCTAACAAAACAAGGTAAATCTTAACCATAGCAGTGGCATGTTGCGTTCCGTACCATACTGTTACCTGTTCGATAGAAATCCAAAACTGCTTTAAAGATTTTTATAGCACAATAAGTCACATCTGAAATCATAAAAGTTTATATAAAAGATTAAGTGCAGAATTAGATTATGATCTCTTCGTCTTTCCTCCCTGTTTCTAACACATTCCTCCTGTTTCTATCTTATCATTTCAGCTTCTTTTCCTCTATGCCTAGAATAAGAATAGTCTAAACATAACAACGTTCCTTAGAATAACTATTTAATTTTATAATTAAATAAAAACAGCGAGTACATTGCTATAAAAACTATTTTATTTCAAAATACCTTCACGACATAAGCTATTTTTTATATACTTATTAGTGTGAAATTTCAGTTGTTAAACTTAATATATATCATTTATTCTATAATAGAAGCATAACTGGCAATTAAAATGGGATCTAAAAGATAAGTTATAGTTTAGGAAAATTCAACATACCAAAATTTGTCATATATAGGAAAGTTTTTAGTACTTTCATTAATCGTACAGCTATCAGTGGTGTGCATAAGCCAAAGCGAACATTTTCAAACAGAAAGTTAATAACACTGTTATCCGCACCCAATACTTCATGAAATATTTTAAAAATTAAGCAAAATGCCAAATTACGGGTCGTACATTCAAGATCCACGAACAACGTTTTTGTCTGAAATACGGTAAAGTGGCATGTGCAGTTTTCTGTTACAACTTTCTGATATCAATTCATGCATCTATCTTTGATGATTAAGAAAACTAGGCGTTAATTTTGTTAAAAAAAACTTAGCTAAGAGTTTAAACATTGAGTTGTTAAGACATCAAGTATACAAGCAAATTATTTTGTTAAGTACATCTGTTCATAAAAGTAATGGTTCAGTAATGGCTCTCCTCTTCTTCCTCTCCATCCAATAGAATTTTCTTGGAGATCCACAAAATTTCTATTGAGGAATCCGCAAACTTCAATATTACTCAACCCAATGCTATTACAATGATAACAGATCCAAAGCAACATTAGAAATAAAACAAATTTTGGCAAAAGAATGCAAATTATCATTCTACATTACTAAAATCACTAAATTAGTAATCAACACTGAAAAATAAGCCAATATTTTTAGTTAGATATTTTTAACGACACTGCCAAAAATGTAACTTAATGCAAATCTTTTTAAAAGTAATGAATATCATTAAAAAAACCGGAAGTCTTACTTTCTCGAGATATTGGTATATTACATCACGTAAACCATTCGTCATACAACAAGCTGTTATTCTACTAAAACAGACAGCACAATCATCGACCACACCTTTATGACGATTTCGCATCAATACATTCCACACCGAATCGTATGCACCAGTAATAATATTCTTTGCTCCTATCGTTTCGCATAAAGATGCTAACATTTCGCAATTTACCTAGAAATTCCGCAGAGAAAATTTGAGTAAAAATTTCGGAATACAATGCAACTGATTTAGTAGCACTAACTAATTTAGCTCTAATTTTTTTTACACCATTCTTTTAGGAAAGAAAGTCATAATCAGACAAGATGTACGAAATTCTTCCATTTCCTAGGATATAAATAAAAAATTAATTGCAGACTAAGGTTTGCAGAATGAGCTACATTGCCATCAGATTAAGCAATTATTTCTGGGAAATTAAACTTAATCAAAACTTAGATTTTATCACTTCGATTACTAGAAATATGTATTTAGCCGTGGAAATTATTTTAATGAAGTCCAAAAGAAAGAAAAAAAAAAAGAACAAAGAATAACTAACCTTTAAGGTATGGTAATACTTGTCGACTGCCATACGCTGTTTATCACTTATCATCAATGTTGGAGAGGTTAAAGGATACAATCTCCTATATAGTTCAGGAAGTGATGAGCACTGACCACTATGCTCACTGCCACTGGATAAAATCAAATCAACATTGGATTTAATACAAACTTCCATCCAAAAACAAGGATCAAAAATGAACTGATCAGTAAAATTCTCTAATAGTGAAGAAAGCGCAATTTTCACATCTGAAAAAGTATTGACTAAAAAAAAATCTTGCATAGTACCAAACTTAATAAGCACTGAAAAAAAAATAGATACAATTTTGCTAAAGGCTTAAACCAAAACATTTTACTAAAGGATTAAAACTTACCTTTCATCTGCTATTCTCAACTACTATTTCCAGCACACATTTTAAGATCATTTTACATATGCATTCGGCTTATTTTGTTCGAATTACCCAAAATCAAACTTACTGTTCGAATTTTTGTGTTTAGATTCCTTCACTAAATCCAAAATTTCTTTCGGATCTTTAAATCGCAACATTATTTTCACAAGACAGCTTAAACCATCCATGCTATCAGCATTGAGCATTTCCACAAATTTATCGGTAAGAAAAATCTGTGAATCAGACTCCGCAACAGATAAACACATAAGTATTTTTGTCCTGTAACTTAATAATATATATATAAATACTAAATGTATACAATGTATTAAATCGACATAGTCTGAATTAATTTCGTTTCACTTCGTTAAACTTCATTATAAAAAGTAAAATAAAAAGTAAAATAGCATAAAACCAAGGATAGCATCATTTTACCAGTGGTGAATCTTTTTACAATTCGTTGTCATATAAAATTAAATCGAATAACACTGCCCGAATAGCACATCTGAACTAAACTCATAATCTGAACTAACTTCTAAAATGTTAAGGAGTGATGCAAGATTTTCTACTTATTATTAATCAGAATTCTTAAAAAAAAAAAATTACAATTCTATAATTTTGCCACCTCATATGTCCCATCTATTAAAAGTGTGAATAGATTGTAGATATTTCATCCACTACGTTGCAACATTAACTTTTTCAATTTATTAACACAATAAATTCAGAAAGACAAAATATGCAAACTATCCATTTACCTTATCTCCGTAATATCACTGCTAAAAATTGAATCCATCAACTGTGAATCAGCCAACCATCTGTCAAAACCGCACTGTTTGAGAAGTTCCAAAACAAATATAGTTTGACATGATCGATTCCGATCATTCCAGATCTTTTCAAGTTCTTCACGTAAAGCTATTTCCAAACGCTTACGTGTTTTTGCATTCGAAATATGCACTAAGTGTATGAGTGCAGCGCCAAAATTAGCATCGGCGGTATCCAAATTTTGAAGCACAAAGGATTTGACACTTCCTAGTTGACGAGACCAGTCGAACTGAATAAGGAAGAAATATTTCGCTATAATGAATTGTGCACAAAAATGATAAAAGATCAGCAGCAAATAAATCAACTGGCATGGAACATCCCTACAACATCATACCACATTACCATGGTCAGACAACTATTTAAATCTTTTAGTCAAAATGCAAACTAAACTAAGCAAGCAATCGAAATTAATTTTATGTGTTAATTTATGATAATGAATTAATATCTAATCTTTGCATATTGTTTAATAATAATTGGTACTACCTAAAATATCACATTTAATCAGTTTTGAAGAATTCACCAATTTCTTATTCATCAGTCTGTTCAATAATTCAAGTGCATTAAGACGTAATAATGAGTGATATGAAGTCAGACAACTGCTCATCAAATCAATTTCATTGTTCTCTAATGCACGAATGAAAAATTTTTGAACGGAAATCCATCCATATAAAAGACGATCATAGCGCATCCAAACTAATTCTTCCCTTTCCGGATTGCAGGAATAATCCATGTATAACAAACCACACATTTCCTCTTCAGTAAGGCAGTAACCTTCATTAGTTTGCTCAAAAGATCGATTTTCTGTCGAAATCATTTGCAAGATGATTTCAGCAGTTTCTTTCATTATCAATTTAGACTTGATATTAGTGTTCAGTTTCGCCAGCCAAAACCGTGAGCTGTTTAAGCGACGCATTCTGAAATCACAGCTATACTTCTTCCGCTTTCAAGTAATTTCTTTAACTAATTTTTGTCATGAAATGCTTTTGCTGCAAGTTAAAAAAAATAAGGTAGTGACAATAGCATTTCTAATTATGCTCTAAATCAAAACCAAATAATAACTATTAACTAGTATCTCGTTAGATGAAATAATACCAAAGTTTGTGCACCGATTATAGAACAACTCAATAATCTTTCGTAATAAAGAAGATAAAGAGATCATTACGGAAATCGTTACGAAATATCCTGAGGATTTCAATTTTTATCCTCTAAAAAGAACGTGGTCTGTGATTAAATGATCAACCAATATCGACAAAAACATGTTAGTACTCTGATTTACATAAATTTTCAGAATCTAACCGATTGGAAGATATTAAGCAATTTGCCAGAAATCGAGCACAGCTTTGACGATCATTGCTATCATTAACGAACCACGCAAGCAAACAGTCAGATGTCACGGAGCCACTAGAATGACGCGCTTGAGCTCTCCAAAGAACTGACATCAGTATATTCTCACTAATATATATCTGCAAATTTTATTTTCAATGTTTGTAACAAAAAAAAAAATCATTCGGTTGTGCTGGATATGATCATATATCGGCGCTATTTTTATTAAAATTTGATTAAATCCATTCGTAAACTTTCGGTGATTTGATTTTCAGCGGTCATCAGGTTCATTGTATCTCATTTTGATATTGTCTCATCGTAATTACTATTAAACTTTGTTGAAGAAGTTCAGTCAGACTTTGTAGAAGTTAAGTTTCGATATTTTGCCATTTATAAGAAATAATATCAAAAATTATTGTTTCAAGTTTGTAAAGAAATTACCAAATGAACATTGTCAAATTCATTCATCTTTTTTATTAAGTAATCAGAAATGAAAGTATTTATACATTTACTAAAATTCAATATAAACAAGTAAGACGATTAAAAAGATATACCTCATCTAGTTTCAGCGCAGGTATTACTGATGCAAGCAGAGCCCATTTCTCTTTTAAAGCATTTGGTAACATGCACAACCACATGAACTGCTTCAATAAAATAAACTTTTGAAAATAGAGAACAAAAATTGAAAGAGTTAAAAATATAGAAGAAAAAAAAAGAGGCTAGTTTCTGAAAAAGTGAATTGCAGAGAATTTTATAAGGAATTATATTATATCGTAGGTAATGTAATTCAAACCTGATATGCTGTGACATCAAGTTCCCTCTGCAACTTCAGTACAGTTTTGAGAATTTTTAGGTCTACACCTGATCGTTGCATGAATACACCATGAAAGCACTGCTTTATACATCGCTGCAATATTCCTTTCTTTTCTCGATCAGTCAGATCAAATTCGTGAGAAGCTTTAAGTAAACGTTTTACCACTATTCCATAGATGCTTCTATCCAATATTTCGTCTTTTAGAATGAACCATTCTGCTATTTCCCTGAACTTAAATAATTACTTTTATATTTAGAAATAATTTTATATTAACGAACTGTCATCATAATTAATCGCTCACCAATCGATAGCTAAGATCACAGGAGTGGCAAATGGCACATTAAAGAATTATGAGGAATGTCACCTTATTAAAATATAAGGAAATGAAAGATGGAATGCAATCTTTCGATTTTTGCACTTTATGAGATGAGCTCATATAGCTCTTCTTCGAGATCCCATTAACGTGAATCAAGGGAAATTACTAGAAGTGTTTAACATAAACTATCGTAAAATAAATCAACTATAAACCATATTTACTATAAATGAACATACCATAAAGATAGTTTGGAAACAGCTCTGTGCAATAAAACATCTTTTTTATCTAAACGACAACTTTCACCGATATATGAATTGGATGCGGCTTTCTGAGAAGGAACTTCCAACTGAAACTCATTTGTAATTCAAAAAATTTGAATTCGAAAGCTATATAAAATCCAGCATAAGTCTATGACAGCATTTCACGAAGATAAAGCAACAGAAGAGATTACTCGATATCAAAGCAGATTGAGCATGCTTCTAAAAATTTAGAACAAACTTCAAAGATACAGGTTCTCATACTGGTAAATTTAGTCAGTGCATGAATAACATACAACCATTTAAGAAGATAAAACTGCACTCAGAAAACAGCGTTCAGGTATCCGAAATAAAACTGTAGCATTACCAAAGAAAATAATTGTAATTCTTTCATTGAACGGAACAGTAAACATCATAACAGGATATTTCTCCATAATTTTATAGGCATGTTTTGAAAGATAATTATGGTTATTTTTTATCTTCTCTTATAAAAATTCGTCAAAAAAATGAAGAATTAATTTTGAGAAACTTTGGAATTATGAAAATTTATCTCCCAAAAATTCAAACTAAATTTTATTTAAATATTTAATGTTTCGAAAACTGATCATTGGCAGCACGTCCATAATAAAATTTTGCAGAACAGATTTTTCATTAGCTGAAGATCTCAAACACAAAAAGAAATTTGCCACACTGGAACATTTCAAATTCAAATTTTAGGAAAATTTCGAAGAATTATCAAAGTTACTACGAAAACTTCATACTTTTGTTAAATCCATTGTTGAATAAGTCACAAATATGCGATTATCATTTGTGGTTCACTTCTGTAATACAATGATAACTTAGCAACACAATATCAAATTTCAACTTTGCAACTGATAAGAATGTTGCTTAACTGATAAAATAATTCAGGTAATCAATAAAATGACACTTACCTTTCGAAAAACTTCCATTGGTATCGAGAAAAACAAGAAAACCACTGCTATGCGTTATGGAATAGCACTGTAAATTGCTGTTTTCTTCGATCACACAGACTTTACTATTTGAAATTCGAATTTCGAAGTAAACTTCTCGATTTTTGTGCAATTCACCGCCTTTATTCCATTTCTAAAAATTATTTTCATATGTTATCTTAATCAGATGGTAAAATTCTTTGCTCAGAATAATTCTAATAAAGAAATGATTAATATAATTTATGCGGACATATGTATCTTTAAGATAAAATATAAGACTCTACGACATTTGCAATATATCATTCTGTCTTATCACTTATCATTGTGTTCCTTAGTATCAATTCTTCGTTTAAATTTGTGAAGGATCAAATTTCAACCTTTCTGCCAGAAATGTTTACACAATAATAGCTATAACAATAAGCCTAGATAATTTTAACAGACAAGCCTAGTTTGTTAAAAAGTCAACAAGAAACTGAATAGTTGCATCGGGTAAGTCTTCGGGTATTTCTGCCCGTGCTTAAAAAATAATTTGTTTGGTCTGTGTTGATTTGCTGGAAGAGCGGTTTGTTTACTGGTATTTATGGTATGGGAAGCATTAACAGATTAAATATAAATCAAACTTTCAGGAATTAATTTGCAAACTTATAAATTAATCAATTCAGATTTACCTGTAACATTTACTTATTTTCAGTCTTATCCACTCATCATTCACTAATTTATTAGGAAATATATTTCGTAGATTGTTTATGGTCAATTATTTATTGAAAGAGAAAAATTTTTCAAACAATTATTTGCATTATAAACCGCTTAATAACAAATTACTTTCATAGATAGTAATATATGAATAAGTAGTAATATTTGAAGCAACTGATATTCGATTTGTAAAATTAAATTATTCAAATATCTTATTGTATAGTTTTGTGATAATTATGTTTGCAATTGTTTCTTTTTTTCTTTTTAATTGATTAAACATAGTAACAAATAAACATTTACAATAATAGAATAGATAATACCATCTATTATTTTACAATTTTAACATAAATAAATGTAATAAAAAAAAAAAAACCAAAAAACAAGAAAACAAAAAGAAAAAAAAAATGATTAAAATATGAAATAATAAAATGATGAATGAATTGAACAAAGAATAAATATATTAGTATTATTATCATCTCAATAAATCATTTTCTAACATTCTTTTCACAGTTTTCACCAGTGTAACCTAATTGACACATGCATGTATAACTTGTCGATGTACCAATGCATAATCCTTTACCGTTACAATCTTTTGTTGAATCGCATGGAGCTGTAAAATGTAATAATTTTGATAAATTTAAAAGATAAAATAAAATTTCTATGATAATAATTTGCAATCTGATTAAATTTATCATATAGATAAGCATTCATAATATAGATATGAATAAATGATTTTAAATAGATTTAATTTTCATTTTATTTTTTTTTTTTTTAAAAATCTTTTTACACTATAATTTTAATTTTTTAGTTCATTTTTTTCTTTTATTTTTATTTTTAATGAACAGAATAATAGTATTTGCAACAATTGAAAATAAAAAAAAAAATGTAGGAATAGAAGAAATTATATAATAAATTAATAAAAAAACTATTAATTAGCAAATTATAATTAATAAAAAGTACTAATTAGTAAATTATAAAACTATCAAATGAAATATTCAGATGAAAACTTTTCGTTGCATTAATTGTGATTCAAAAGATTAGAAATAATTTTAATTAATGAAATGAACGAACAATTTTCACAATGCATTCCAGTATAGCCAAGCCTACAAATGCAAAAGTTTGTATCTTTATTGCCAATACATGTACCTCGATTATTGCATAATTCATCTTCACAAATCTAAAATAATACAAATATTATTGAGAGAAATAAACTGTAATTAAAATCATTGCAAATCAAAAATTAATGGAATGAAAATATCATTGCTAAGAGATAGCTAAACTTCAGCTAATAATTAACATTAATGATATCAGTAGCAGTAATATTAATATTAATAATAATAATAATAATAATAATAATAATAATAATAATAATAATAATAATAATGTTAATGATAATAATAATAATAATGTTAATGATATCAGTAATAAAATTAATAATAATAATAATAATAATAATAATAATAATAATAATAATAATAATAATAATAATAATAATAATAATAATAATAATAATAATAATAATAATAATAATAATAATAATAATAATAATAATAATAATGTTAATGATATCAGTAATAAAATTAATAATAATAATAATAATAATAATAATGATAATAAATGTCCAGATATAATGTTTGCTTTATCTTTTACCTGTAAATTTTATTTTCTTATTTTGATTTATGCATATTTTATTTACAGCACTAACAATATCGCATCATATTTCTTAATTTAAAATACTTTTTCTTTTTTTTTTTTTCACAATGTTTGATAAAATTTGTTAAAGATTTAAGGTGGAAATGTAATGTAAGATAAAAATAATGATTGAAACAACGATGAAACATTAATTAAAACTAATTTAAAAAATTAAATTAAAGAAAAATATTATAGCTAAAGTGAATGATCATTTACCGCTTCTTCATCAGTTTTGATAAGACCGAGATTTCCTGATGGCTTCTGCAAAATGTTTTATCATTTCAATTATCATTTCGGATTATAAGAGACTTCTTTTAAAAAAAAAAAAAAAAAAAAAATTGAAAACTTAAATAGAAATATTTTGAGAAATTTTTGTTTATTACCTCATCACTTGTTTTTGTTATAATTTTCCCCATTTCTTTCGAATCTTTTTGTGCATCTTTCTGGAATTATTAATTATTTATTATACTCAAAACTTACTTTTTACTGTAAAATTTTCTAATTAATAGTATTAGTTACTAATTCAATCTCAAATTTAATTTAAATTCATTTTCAGCATTTTTTTTTTTAAAATTTCATTAAAAATTTATATTTAAATACAAAAACTTACATGCGGGAATGCAGTTGTCAAATTGAAAAAGACAACAAATGTAATGAGAATTAAGTAATACAGCATTGTTACTTTTGCTTCCATATACAAACAAAAAAAAAAAAAGAAAGAAAAAAGGTAATATAAACAAATACAGCTAAGATAATAATAATAATATTACTATTATTATTATTATTATTATTATCACAAAAATTATAATAGCACAATAATTATTGTTATTGTTCGATCTAAATTGTATTCTCGCTTTACCTAAAATTAAATTTCTTCCATAAATATTGAAAAACTCTTTCAGCGTTTATTTATTAGTAAAAAAAAAAAAAAGAAAAACGAATTAGAATAAATTTGATTTAAAAAAAAAAATTGTCAAATATAATTTAAAAAAGAAAACAAATGCGCTATTTTACATTGCCAACTATCACAAATATATGAATTAGTATTAGTAGTAGTAGTAAATAGATTGTATCATGATGTTGTTGTGTGATTGACCTAGACAGGTATGATAATATATGATCGTATCACTTCTGGTTCAATAATCATTCATTCATTGATCTAAATCAATCATTAATGAGTACCGCCCCTCATTTTTCATGAATGAACAACCAAACAACGAACTCATTCAGTTATTTATCTTTCATTTCGTATTTTTTAGTTCATTTTTTTCAATCATTGCTATTGACCTTATTCTCTTAGAATAGCTGTTACACACACACACACATTTCATTTCAACTTTTAATAAAAATACCTCAAATTTGGGACATTTATTTATAAATAGTCATTTGAACTGTGTAACATTGACGATAAATCATTCATTTAATTATGTTCGAAATATAATTCTTAGAATATTATTTAGTATTGATTTTAATGTGAAATGAATTCCTTTCCTTTCCTTTCCTTTCCTTTTTTTTTGAAACAAAATTTCAAATTATTCGTTTAAAAAAAAGAAAATTGCATTTGTGTCATGAAGAAGAAATTCTGAACACTTTTGAAAGATGTGAAGTGTTTTTTACCTTTGAAAAGTGATCAGAAAGAATAATTTTTTAATGTCCTAGAAGTTCAAACTTTTGTAAATTCTTAAATTCTGCTATGGAAATGGATTGTTCTTTTTTTTTTTTTTCTTCTTTTTTCTTTTTTGGTCTAATTTGAATTCATCAAAGCTCAGTACAGTTAATATTGACAATTTCAAAGTATTATAAACTTTTTGCGCCAGAATATATGTTTCAGTAAATGTTATAAATTGTTTTTTTTTTTAATCACATATTTACTTCATTTCATTTTATCAATGTTATCTCCAAATAAGCATAAAAGAGGAAAGTAAAGAAATATGCATACAATTAAAATAAAAATTAAAGTTTTATATAAAATGAAGAAAATTATACAAGCAAAATGTGAAAGATATTACAAACAAATATTCCAATTAATAAAAGAAATATTAAAATAAAAAAAAAAAAATACCTAAAACAATAATACATTAACACACGTTTGGTGAAGGGAAGAGTTTCTGTGCAAAATAGAGCATTAAAAAAAGTTTGAAAATATGCAAAAGATGAAAATAACAGAAATGAAACAATAAAAACACGAATATCGCTCACAACAATTTCATTATTTATTTTAGAATGAACAAATGAAAATTAAACAAATGGAAATTTTCAAAAAAAAAAAAAGAAAGAAGAAAACAATGAAAAATGTAAAGCAATTTTATATGATGAATTGATTTATGAGAAATAATATTGAAGATATTATTTAATAATAAATAAAATAAAATGAATAAGAAATTTTGTGCAAAAATATTAGTAATAAAGTGGGAAAAAATACATGCATCTTCAAGAACTTAAGAGAAAGAAAGAATGAATTAACAAAAATGAATTTAAAAAATTTAATTTTTGACATATTTCACCGATTTTTCGACAAGTGATAGTAATATTTTAAATTAATTTCATACAATTTTCATTTTAAATTAATTAGAAACGATCAATTTTATTTGAAAATTGAGAAGTGATAATAATAATAATAATACATTATCATATACATATGCATATTTTGCAAATGATTTCTTCGTTTCGATTATCATTATTAACAAAAAAATTGATATAAAGTGAGCTAAATATTTATCGCATATCACAAAAAACTATTATCAAATTTTTTTTTTTTTTTTTTAATCAAAATAAATTGAATCATTACAAGTATACTTATCACATAAGCATTTATATAGCAGAAAAAATTAGCATAAATAGATTTATTAATTTATCGCAACTTATTTACATTCACATCACAAAGAATCGATGAGAGAGAGAGAGAGAGAGAGATAAAAAAAGCATGAAAAGAAAAGAAGAAATTTTCAAAAAATTTCGAAAGACATTGAAATTACAGAAAAAAATTTTAAAGAATTTAAAAAACATTGAAATATATTAATGGAAAAAAAAAAAAAGAAATGACAATGATTTCATATGTTAAAATTAAAAACTATTATTAAAAAAAAAAAAGAAAGAAAAATATTGATAAAATTATTCCAATTAATTGTAATTAATAAATTTTGAAATTTACAAAAAAAAAAAAAAAATTTTAGGAAAAAGAAAAAAGAAAGAATAAATGAAGAAAGCTCATAATTGTTCATCACCCGAAGAAGGTAAAACTTCACTTGGTGATGTCATGTCACCATTTGATCCAATTGACGATGAAATACTACCATCTGTTGATCTAACAATCTTTGGTATTGTTGATAATGTCATCTTAGTTATAGATTTTTTATTGGTACCACAAGTGATACTATTATTTCTAATTTCAACTCTTTCACCTTCATTAGTACCATCATTTACAAATACAGTTGAGGAATTCTTCATCAATTCAGCAAATTTATTTACTTTAATACCAATATTTGAATGTGTATTTCCGGTTTGTGAGGTTATTGATGCACTGCTTTTACGTTTCATTTCTTCTTTTAAACTCTGAAATATTATTTTATTATGAAAGTATGATAAAACTCTCTTATAAGTGATAAAAGTGATCATTTTTTTATGAGAATTCATCTCTTCAATGAATCCTTTTTTATTTAATAAATTTCCGTTCAAATAAAAGGTTATTTATGATGGTACGTTGAGTAGTGAACATCTTAACTTTATATAAAATAACTTAAAGTAAACTTTTTACTAAAGTAACCTTACGAATGATATCCATATCACTGAGTGTATGTCTCCTCCATAACTCTCGTCGATCACTCATTTTAACATGTGTTTTCATTTTAGATCCATCAATAGATGGAACTTTCTCACAATACTGAGCTACCGGAATCGGCATAGCATCTACCATTTCAGATTCCGAAACTGTCATATGAGATCGATGAAGCTAAAAATGTTTGCTTTTGTAACTTTATTCAAAGGTTTTGCATTAAATTCAAACATTTAAAACTGATTCAAATTTTGAAAAATTACTTCGTATTTCAAATATTTCTTTATAATTCATTTTACTCCAATTCTATCTTAAATTCAAATTTAAATAAATTAAAATCTTTTGTCCAAATATGAAAATAAGGATGAATATTAATATTTATACTGTGTTTACTTAATACGATAATAAAGAATGAATGAATGAATGAATACCTTTGGCTGACTTTCTGAACGTTTCGTCTCAGTGATAAGCAAATATTGACATGATAAAGGTATTCCAAGCATTACATCTTCCTGATCCCTGGAACCACTACAGCAATCTTCGCTAGTAGATGATTGCATTCCTTGATGAGATCGTTTGAAATGATCAGAAATACCGGAGGAAAAATTAAGTTGTGTTACCTGAACAAATAAATCAAATGTTGAAAATGATACTTTCCTGAATATTAAAACTAAACAACAAGAAAAAAAAAGATTTAAATTTCAATATGAAAAAAAATAATAATAATAATAATTCAAGATTATGATCATAAATGATATGATAAAAAAGAAAAAATTCTTTACTATTAAATGATAAAATGTATATTTTTTTTTAATAATACTTTTTTCTTTCTGCTTTTTTTTTTTTTTTTTTGTATAAAAGTTAAAAATTTTATTTCTAAAATGACTTACTTCTGCAGCTTCTAAATCAGGATGTCTCGGTGATGCACTAGCATTACGAGTATATGGTGACAAATCACTGGACGCATAATCACTACTTGCAGCAGCCAAATGATCAATGCAAGAAATTGTCACAGGTATAGTTAAAGGTGCAGATGATGTCGTGCTGTAATCAGATGTTAATGATAAAGCATCTGTGGATGAAAATTCTTCTGCTGTTGTTGTCTTCATTGATACTGATTGTGATGAAGGCGGTTGTGGTTGTGGTTGTAGCGGTTGTGGTTGAACTGCTGGTGGTGCTGGTGCTGGTGGTGGTGATGGTTTCTGGAAAAAGAGAAAATGTTAAGTGTAAAAGATTGAAGTATAAATTTTATCAATTATTAACATTTTACTCAATTTAGCAAAAATTTTTTTTTTTTTTTTAAAATTAAAATAATAAAATCAATTTTCAAATAGCAAAAAATAATAATTATAATACTTCGTCATGAATCTTTTGTGGAAGACAATGCTTCGTTTTCATTCCCATTTCAATTTCACGTCTTTCAAGTGCAGTAGATGCCCATCCTTGAAGTTGTTGTAAACGTCGAATTTTTTCACGTGTTTCAGCGCTTAATACATCAAGCGTTGGTAACGATGCTAAATTAAGATGACGAGAATGATTAACAAGTTCATCCAAATCAGCATCCGTATCATCTAGATCAGCATCTGTACCAGCAATAAAAATTCGTCGTGCAGAACAAATTTCCTAAAAATCAAACAAAATAATTTTAATTTAAATAAAACAAAAAAAAAAAAGAAGAAATTCAAATCTATGCAATTCAAATAATATGATTTATTACTTTCAAAAAAAAAAAAAATTTTAAAGTTTAAATATTAGTGTTATACTTTCAAAATATCATAGTTTTTATATATGGTAGTAGTAGTACCTATCTAATAGCAATGAATTTTACATTAAGTTTAATAAAATTGTTTTAGTTCATTTCTTTTGTTGTTCAACAACAAAAAAAGCCACCAAAATTTGCTACTCATTGTTATTAAAATTTAATTTCAATAAAAAAAAAATAATATATATCAAAGTTATTTCGAATTTCGATTAGAATTAAAACTAAAATTGAAATAGTCTAAAAGTAGAATGTAATTAATATAAAAAAGACCTTTTGTCTTCGACGTCTCATTTCATCTGCTTCCGTACAATTCAGTACATTTCCCATACTTTCATCTTTTATTTCGCATAAATTGAAGGGAGACGTTACTGTATGACATGTGGAATCATGCGACGAACCAAGCGAAGGCGAATGATCAGCTGATGAACTGGTACCAGCGTACTGCTGCGTGCACTTACCTAGAGTTTGCTGTTGACGTGACGCTATTTCAGCGTCGATATCACGTTCCTGTAATTCTACAAGATGTAACTTTCGATGCTACATTGAATAGGGAAATGAATGATAAAAATATCTTTACAGAATTCAATTTTCACAAATATATCAAATTAGGATAAAAAAATTATCTCAGATATCAGCAAGCAAAAAAATGATAATCTGATAATCTAAACTGATATAAACCTGATAAACTCCTGTAACTGAATGTTCGGATGTATTAGCAGTACTATCCATTACTCTCGTAACTTTACTTATATTTTGCGTGGATGAAATACTTGGAGCATGAATTGAATGATCACGTAGTTTCTTTCGTTTTTCACGTTTCGAATTGCGTCGCACATTTAAAATTTGTTTTATCTAAAATTGATAATAGTTATGAACAATTATAGTTAGTTATATTTTAGGTTAAATTATTAAATATTTGTTAATAATATGCAATAATTAAATGCTATTACTACCTTTCCACTTTTTTGTGCATCCATTAAAGCAATAGCTTCAGCCTCATTAACACGTCTAATTAAATTATGCATATCATTAAATGATGAAGTAGTAATACTGCATTCATTTTCATTAATACCAGTTGCAATATTACTACCAGTAGCAGAATCATTTGATGTGAAAATTTGTGGTGGTACTTCATCATCCATCGTAATATTTTCATCAAACATCCAATCACACTATAATCAAAAAGTTTTTAATTTAAAAAATTCAGGAAAAAAAAAAAGGGAAAAAAATAGAAATAATGATAAATAATTGTATAATTTTATAAAATCATATAATAAATTAAAATATATTTGTTTTTCTTTCATTCATGTTTTCTTATTTGTCTTAAAATTAAAAGTTTAAATTTTGAATAGGTAATAGTTTAATTTGTAATTAGTAAGCAATTAAATAAAATCATACATATGTAATGAATGTTTCAATAATTTTGCATTGATCAGACATATGTGTCACCATGGTAGCCATATTGTCATCACTTGGCCTTACAATTGATGGACCAAACATCAATGCTAAATTACGCGTTTCCATCTGCAAAAGTATACAGTATGCTTATTTGATTGGCAAATAAGAAATTTCTTTAAAAAAGTCTTACGATCAAATTTCTTTGTTAGTTATCATTTTTTTTTTCTTTTTTAATGATTATTAAATAAAATTTCTCTCAAAAAAAAAAAAAAAAAAAAAAAAAATTAAAACAAATAATTAAATTGTAAGTTAACCTTATTAACATCGCTGTGTTCAACTACCGCTCTTAAATGTTCCATTAAATATTTCAATGTTTGATAATGAGCAGAAGGAAGTTTACGAGTCTATAAAATAAACATAAATCATTTCATATAAGTTTAATTACCAAAGTATATTTACTTTCAACTTTAAAAAAAAAAAACTTTTTTCTATTAAAGAGAAAAAATATTTTCCATTTTTCAAAAAAAAAAACTGACATATTTATTTAAAAAATATATATAAAATCATAAAGGAAAACAAAAATTTTCAGTTTTTTTTTTTTTTTTTGGAAGAACAAATAATTTACTAAATAACGAAGTTTTCGTAATCGTTGTGGATGTGAAGCAATTCGATTTGCATCAATAAAAAATGGATATAATTTATCTGTTAGCAACGGTTCCGGTAATTTACGCAAGAACATTTTTAATAGGCTACTTACAACATTTACATCATTCCATCTTGAATCCGTAAAATCGATCTGAAAAAAATATGAAAGAAAAGAAAAGGAATTTTTTCATTTTTTTTAATTTGTAATTTAATTATATTAGTCGAAGTAAATGAATAAAATTAAATTATACAAATGGTTAATATTTTGAATTTTACTTCTTTTCCAATAGCTAATCATTATGCTTAATTTTTATTCAACATATTATAATATGCACTTTTATTGGAAAATATTTTAAATTATTAGCACTTGAATAAAACTTGGTAATGTTTACTTTAATAGTTATAAAATTAATTTTATTAAAATGTTAAATGTGAAACTTTTTAATATTTCAAAATGAATTATACATTGAAAAGATTGATTGTTTCTTTCTTTTACTCTTTTCATCTCTATTTATTTATTTTTCATTTATAAATTTTGTTAATATAAGATAGAAATTTAAGAATTCGTATCTTTTTTTTTTTTAAAATTTAAATTTCAAATATTTACATTTGCAAAACCACTATTAAGTGTTTCTTTCAAAGCATTCACAGCAGCCGTATTACCCGGAATTCGATAAATGCCAACCGTATCCATACCATTTGCTTCTACTACTTTTACACATAATCTAATAATTAATGGTACCATCTGCAAAAAAAAAAAAAAAAAAAAAAATTCAAGAAATTCTATTTTTGTTATAATATAATTAAGATTTAGAAAGGAAAAAAAATGAAAAAATAAAATGAGTTGAAGAGAAGAAAATTCAGAAAATGCTAAATTAAAAATGAACATATCAAAATATATGTCATTGCATGAAAATTTAAAATAATATCAATTTAAATCTTATCTTATCTTATCTTCAAAAATCACTGACAAAAGTTTGTTTAGCAAAATAACGAACTTAAAATTATTCTTAACATTTATTAAATGTTAAGAATAATTTTAACTTAGAATAGTTATATATAATAATGGTAAGAATAATTATAAACAATAATTAATGTTAAGAATAATATTAAGAATACATTTAATTAAATAATCAAAATTAAATAAAGCAAATTAGCTAATTTAAATGCTATTTTTAATAATAGTACTCTTCTTACCTGCAATTACTCATATCAAGTTATCCAAGGTAATCTATACATGCATATATATCACAAATCTAATTAGATTAAATAATTAAAATCAAATAATTAAATGAAACATTCAGTTAGCTTACAAAAAATTTGCTAACATTACGTCAACTAATTTTCTCTAAAATTATTTAGTCAAACAACAATAACAACAACAACAACAACAACAACAATAACAAAAGAAAACTTACATCACCACTACCACTTGTAGGATAATCAACAATTTTTTGACCTAATGCAGATGAATGTTGAGATGGTTGTTGATCAGATCGACTAGTTGAACATTGTTGTTTTATTGTTTTTGTTTTTTTCCACTTACGAATGGTTTTTGGTGTTGATGTATTGATCGTTTGATCATCTTAAATAACAAAAAATTAAACAAACATAGGAGAAAAAGAACAAATCTAAAAATAGTATCAAATGAAAATTTTAAACAAATCTGATAAATAATTTTTTTTTTTTTTTATCAAATTTGTTTTAAAAAAAAAAAGAAAAAGAGTACAATAATTTTGTTTATGTATAAAATTGATTATAATTTTGATACGAAGAAATAAATATATTTTTAATAACACAATGCACAATTATCATTTAACCAATAATATCATTTTGAAAATAACTATGATGAGAGAAAATTATCATAACAATTACTCTTTTTTGTTCATCTCTCTCTCTCTCCCTCTCTCTCTCCCTCGAAAAACTTTTCTCTCCTAAAACAATTGCTGAAAATTCATTCTTATCAACATAATTCATTTCTATCATGACAATAAAACATTTCATATCATTAATCTCTTCTTATCATACCATTAGTTGCTACAGTTCCTTCACTGTAACCGGATCCTGAATCAACGGAGGTTCCCGGTTGTAAATTATGATCCATAGATGGTGCAGTAGAACAATATCGTTTATTAATACCTGGTGATGGATAATGTGATGATTTAATTTTATACCTAAAAAATCATTTTATATTCATTAAAAAATTAATTTTAAAATAATTCAAAAAAGAGAAAACAAAAAAAAAAAAATGAGAAAAATTGATATGATATGATTAAAAATGAAATTAATAAATTGAAAAGATATATTGAAACTATCATACCTTTGCATAATTAATTTAGTTGTAGCATCACCGGTAACCTGATTTGTACCGGAAATGCTATTATTAGAATCATTCGTACTACAACATTTCACCGTGACTGGAATACATCTGGATGATAACTGAGTTTGATCATTTCGTGAACTATTGATTAGTGATAATTGACCTTCGTCTATTCCTTGTGATTCATATTCGTTAACTGTATGAAATCGACTACAACGATTAGCTAAAGACTGTTGTTGTTGTTGTTGTTGTTGATGATGATGGTGATGATGATGGTGATGATGATGATGATGATGATGATGATCTTGTTGAAATTTGTTTAAAAATTT